GTTTTCTACCTTCAAGCTATAATTTTTGGTCTTTCCTTTCCACTCCGAGTTTCCTTTAATATTTCTTGCAGGGTTGTTTTAGTCGTTGTGAGCTCCTTTACTTTTTGTTTTGGTAAGTCCATCTCCTTCTATTATGAATAATAGCCTTGCTAGATAGAGTATTCTTGGCTGCCATTTTTCCCATTCAGTACTTTGAATAGATCATGGTACTCCTTTCTGGGTTGGAAAGTTTGTGCTGAAAAATCCACTGACAGCTTTATGGGGTTTTCTTTGTATGTAACTGCCTTCCTTGTCATTTTTAATATATTTTCATTATCACTGTATTTTTCTGTTTTAATTACAATATGTCTTTGTGTGAATCTGCTTTTGTTGGGGTTTCTCTGCCTTCTGGATATGTTTCCTTCCCCAGTTTAGGAAGTTTCCAGCTATTTCTTCAAATAAACTCTCTGCCCGCTTTTCTCTCTTTCTTCTGACTCCTATAATATGAATATTATATTTGATGGAGTCAGAGTTCCCTATGTCTGTTCTTGTTTTGCAGGATTCTTTTTTTCCCCTGTTTTGTTCAGCTTGATTCCTTTCCATTACTCTTCTAGGTCATTAATTCCCATGCTTCTAGCCTGCTGTTCATTCCATCAAGTGTGTTTCTCACTTTGTTTATTGAGCTCTTTATCTCTGCTTTGTTACTCCTTATCTCTGTGTTAATGGTCTCACTGACATCCTCCACTCTCTTCTCAAGTCCAGTGAGTATTCTTTTTTTTTTTAAAGATTATTTATTTGAGAGAGAGAGAATGAGAGAGAGCACATGAGAGGGGGGAGGGTCAGAGGGAGAAGCAGACTCCCTGCTGAGCAGGGAGCCTGATGCGGGACTCGATCCAGGGACTCCAGGATCATGACCTGAACCGAAGTCAGTCGCTTAACCAACTGAGCCACCCAGGCACCCTCCAGTGAGTATTCTTATGATCGTTGCTTTAAATTCTTTATTAGGCATGTTACTATATCTGTTTCACTTAGATCTCTGGCCCTGGCCTTGTCTTGTTCTTTCATTCTGGACAAATTCCTCTATCTTCTCATTTTGTCGAAGTCTCTCTGCCTGTTTCTCTGTGTTAGGAAAGTTAGCTATGTCTCCTGTTCCTGAGGGTAATGGCTTTATGAAGAAGAGGTCCTACATGTAGTGCCCTGCAGTGTAGTGTCCCAGCACTTCTGGGAGTGTCTCCAATGAGTCCTGGCCTCTTTATGCTTCAGACTAGTCATTTGCCGAGGCTCTCCTTGCCTGTTGTGGGTAGTGTTTGGTCTCTGGTCTGTATGTGGCACATTTTACCTAGGTGTGCCCTGGTCTGCATGTAATGAGAACTCTCACTGCTGCCACTGGAACTGAGGCCTCAAAACCTGCAAATCAGGAGATGCTGTGTTGGCAGGAGTTTGGGGGAGGGGACCTACTATCCTGGGACTGAGGCAAGCATGAATGGAAAGGCAGTTCTTCCAGAGCACAGGGCTTGGTGTAAATAAGTTTAGAGTGAGTGTTCACGTTGTGCTGGTTCCCACAGATGGCTCTGCTTTTATGCTGATGGGTTGGGGAGGGAAATGGCACCTGCCAGTTCCTATGGTCCTGGAGGGGTCTCTCTGGGACACACTACAAGATGAGCAGATAACCTCCCCACTGTGGGCTCTAGAGGCTCTTCACATTCCTGTTTCCATGTTTGTGGCTGCTCTTGGAGAGAAGGCAGGCAATGTCCTGCAAGCTCTCCCAGAGCCAAGCATGGTGACCTTTTAATTTAAAACTCCAGGCTTTAAGCACCACTGATTGCAAGAAGTCACAAAATATGAGCCCTCCTGCTTTCCAAGCCAATTGCTATGGGGATTTGTTTTCCTTGTATGCTCCCCTGTATGCTAGTCTATCTTTTGCCCTTCTCTGTGACCACGGCTCCCTCCCCACTGCTGTTGCCACAATCCATTTCTCTCCCAAGCCACATCTCTGTCCTTCCTATCTTGATTGCTGTGGTCTTTTCTCTACCTTTACTTGTGAAGTTTGTTCTACCAGTCTTTAGATAGATTTCTGGGGTTATTAGGATGATAGGATAGTTATCTAGTTGTATTTGTGGAATGAGGCAAACCTAAGATCCTCTTATTCGGCTGCCATCTTCCCCTCCTTCTATAAGTAGGCCTCTATCACAGAAAGACTGTGGGTAGTAGTCAGCCAAGAACTGGCTCTCCATTTGTTACAGTCCCATAGGGCCCAGGCTCTCAAAAGGCAGCCATAAAAACTAGAACATCAGACTTGTGTGACAGCTCCCTTCCAGGAGATATGGGTGCCTTGGAGTGTGGCAGAGGAAGGATGCAAAGATGGTAAGCACTGGCCCCCATCCTCACAGTGTACTCCAGTAGGCCCCTTGCTCTTTTGAGAGGTCTGCCTTCAGAGTGCTGCTTTAAGTTAACAAGCCTCTTTCACAGAAAGTCTGGACCCCTTTCAAAGGGCTGACTTTGTGCAGGTAAGTCCATGGGCAACGCCTTTAAGAACCATTTCTCAGTTTGCTATAGCCTTGTGGGTCTCATGAACATGAGCCCCACTGGCTTTCAAAGCTAGGTATCTGGGGAGCTGGTCCCTCCAGTGCCTGTCTTAAAAATGTGGGGTTTAAACTCTGCTCCTCAGAGAAGCTTTTGAGTTCCCTTCCAACTGTGGGGTTTTTTCCTACTTGCTTAGATGTCAATTTTTTGTTTGCTGGCTGTGTAGTTTTTTTTTTTTCCCCAAGGGAATTGTTCCATATTTGGCTGGAGGTAAGTTCAGGGATCTTCCTACATCACCACTTTGAACAAGCCTCTTCATGCTTAACTTGTTTAAAGCACTTTAATCCCAGCATCTTTCCTGTCTCTTGAACACTTCCTCAAACACTTAGTGACCATAAGCATGAACTCCCCAGGTGTAATTTGTAAAACAAACAGTCAGAATATGGAAGAGATTTCAACTTGAGAAATACTGAAGAAGCTTCTGTGTTTTAGGCATTGCTAGGTGCTGAGGTAGGAGAAAATAATCATCTGCACCCACAGGAAATTATTTCATCCTTGTGTCCCTAGCACCATACTCAAAATAGTGAATCTGCGTAACATGGAACTAAAGTATTTCCAAGAATAAGGGTGGTGGGGGGCGGGTGGATGATGATGGTTACATGGGACTCAGGAGCCACCTGAAAACTGAAGGAATGGAGGCATGAACAGGGCAGATGAGGTGTGACAGTGGTTCAGCTAGGACTTCATGTCCCAGGTGACTTTGTCATTGCCCTTCCAGGTCCTGTGATCCTTCCACCAGGGGGCCTGTACTTACCAGCTTTATCTTCCTGATTTGGGATAAGGGCCTCCATGATAATTTGTTGGCTGTTGATCTTCTCTGTCGGCAAATGCACACACAACATTTAAATGCAATTTTAGGGTGTTTTCAAGCAGGATCATTCCCTAGAGCTGCCCCATCCTCCTAGCAGCCTTCCTCCCTTAGGAATAGGGTATGTTTCATTGTACTTTGCTGGGTCACAGCCTCAGTGACTGCTGTTTATAAATAATTCAGGAGATGGACAGAGTTCTTAAGTGGTTCCTGGGCCAGGTGATGCAGCAGGTGACTCTCTTCCCTCTTTTGCCTTTTCAGTTCAAAGGTTATATCCTGAGGGATTGGGTTCTTTTAGAAACTTACCCTGGTTGGGATTTAAAATCTATTTTCAATAACACTGACTTGGATTTCCTTTCCCTGGGACTTGGCAGGGCCCTTCTGGTACAGCCCTCCACCAACTTCTTCTGTCACTGGTGCCCCTTGTGTTGAGCTACTGGTGGGCTGGAGGGTTCTGCAGTGCCACCCCTTTGTCCAGCCACATTGCATTTTTCTCCCCAAAATGACTAATGACCTGAGTGGAACCCTTCATACTTTACCCTGTTCTCGGACATCTGCAAAAACAAAACTATGGTTGGTCAAATGAGGAAACATGTCCTAGAGGTATACCCAAAGTCACACCCCAAATACGTAGCAGAGCTCAAATACAGTTCTTGTCACCAAATTCTAGGTTCTACTTTTTTTTGGTCGGGAAATTTATATTTACGATTTAGCTGGCTAGATTCAGTTTAGATGATCCCAATTTTGTTGGCAACATCCAAAGCTTCATAGTCAGGAGCCAGTTGAATATATGCCACCTTCTATTAGGCCTGATCAGGGCGTTGACCTTGGCTATGTCCGTGTCATAGAGCTTCACAGTCTGGTGCTTGCTGGCCTTGATGTCCACAGTGAACACAAGTGTGTTGTCTTCATGGCTGACTTGGTAGTCGGGGAACTTAAATGATGGCATGGTGGTCCAGCTAGTTTCTCCTGGGGTGCACTCTTTTGAGGCTATTTGGGCTGTCTTCAGACACACAGTGTCTCGGGCTGTCAAAAAGTAGTTGACATGTGGGGGCACCTAGGTGGCTCAGTTGAGCCTTCAGATTGGGTAATGATCTTGGGATCGAGCCCTGTGTCAGGCTCCCTGCTCAGCAAGGAGTCTGCTTCTCTCTCCCTCTCAAATGAATAAATTAAATAAATCTTAAAAAAAAAAGTAGGTGACATGGATTTTTTGTGGGTGTGACTGTGGATGCGTTTCAGCATTGCTTTCTTGGCCTTCAAAGCCTTTGCTTTGACTTTGGGAGGGGCAGGGGCTTCCTTCTTTGCCATCTTCAGGAAAAGGTAGGTTCTACTTTTCAATATGATTTGCTTTTCCTTGAGTCTGTACAGTTCTTCTTGATTGGCAAATTGAATGTTAAGGACTATCCTCTAGTGAACACAGAGCTGGTTACCTTATTCCAACATCTGTTTTCTAAAAGGCCTTTGTTGCCTGTCTAGCACCATTCATTCATTTATTCAGTAATTACTGAGCATGTCCTCTGCCTGGCTGCTGGGAGAGCACTAATGTATAAATTAGATACAATTCAGGGGCTGGCCGGTTCCCATGGATTTTTTTTTTTGTTTTTTAGACACTAATTTTTGTCTCCTGCAGAAATGCCAGATAATGCAGCAGCGCTGCTGGGTGCTTGCTGTAAACTCCAGATTATTCCTACGCTGTGTCACTTGGTAAGGAACGTCTCAGTGGGGATCTGGGAATGGGCACCTAATAATTGATAAAACACCTTTAGAATTTTTCATCTACAATAGCTCTTCAAAATAGTTTAAACAGGTATTATTACTAACCCCACTTTTTTTTACACACCATCCACATCCTACCACACATTCTATCCTACAGGAAGACTGAGGCTGAGAGGAAAAGCATTTGTACAGAGAACTTGCTTACAGGGCTAGGACCCAACCTTGTCATTAGCTTCCAAATCTCAAGCTTTCCCCACTGTTTGTTTGGAGAGAATTTTGGCCAAAGTTTGGTTGTAACATCGCAGGGAAGGAGCCTGACACCCTGTTATTTGCAATGGCAGTGCTAGGGCTAGACCAGTTTGATTCAGCTCTGCATCTAATTCACCAGGGAGGTATTTGAGAGGACTGCTTTGTCTCAGATCATTAGCTTTGTGCCCTAAGGAAATTTCATGGCAAGAGCAAGAGTTAGGTAATGATGAGCTTAGCCCTAGAGAGTTAAGATTAAGCTTTTCCTTTTTAAATTACAAACTGGGTCATTAATAGAAGGAGCCATCAATAGGCTGTCCAGAAACCACTCCAATGGGGCAGGTGTTGCTCCGCCCGGGGCAGAGTAGCTGAACACACCTGGTTGGATTATTTTAAGGTCTGGTTAGTTACTAAGAGTACAGACCAAGATGCTATGTAGGCTCAAAAGACCAAAGCTCAGAGCTTTGCTCCCAGATCTAGGAAGCAGGTCTTGAGATTAAGTGGCCAGGATCCTGAAATTTGTTACCCATCCGCTCTGGGAGCTCGAACACCATGCTTAGGGCCTTGGGTACTTCTGTGCATAGCAAAGACATCTGAACAAGGCATCGTTCCAAGGAGGAGTTTAGAACCCATTCACAACTGAAAGTAGATTCTACCCACCCAGAAGAATGCTGAGTTCTTGTACTTTGATCACTAAAACTGAACTACTTGAAAACATGACAGCATGTATGTTCTGTCTGGTGGTGTAGTTGGGTTATGGAGATAATAAATACCATTACCTAATTGTGTGCAGTGATGAGCACGGCAGTAGCTCTGCTTTCATAGCCCAGCTCTCTGTTGCAGTAACTGAGTGCTTAGTATCTCCCAGGTTACCCTTAGTAAAGATTTACAAAATCATCAAAATACTGCAAGACCACATTAGCTAATTCCCTCTCCCAACAAACTCACACTTACTTGTCATCTTCCCTGCAGTAAGCGTTAGATTTGATCTTTGTGTTGCTTCCAAGTTCTGTTTTGTTGGTCTGAGCATAGCCAGGAGGACACATCTGGAGTTCCAGGATGGCTGGTATTCTACACGGGCACAAAACTACCCACCCACAGAGTCATTTGTCTGCTTTTGGGGGGCTGCTTACGTAAAGAAAAAAATTTTCCTTTAAACAATTTCCTGGGTATCTTCACATAATCTGCCCTAGATATTGCAACAATCCTTAAGACAGTGAGGCTCCTGCCTCCTGAAGGAATTTGGGTGTCGAGTTACTTACAGGGATTTACTTAGAACAGGGTACAGAAATGTACCAGCATTCCTATCTTCTCTTGTCTGCTGGCCAGAGTAACTTTGAGGGGCTTTTAGAAGAATAGAATCAGACAGAATCATCAGTAGACCGTCACTTTTGCCCCACCACCCTTTGGGTGGCTGTAATCTTTCATACCTAGAAGTGCCTCTGGGCACGTGGGGCTGGCAGCTGTTCAGGGAAGGAAACTGGATGCTGCTCAGACCCCAGACACAGAGCCCGCTGAGGGCAGCATGTGCCAGTGCAGCTCACTCTTAAATTACTGGAATATGGTGCTTCTGCTCTGCTCAAAGAGTAGGCCTAATCTACTTTCTAAGGCAAAACTGATAGTTTATGGTCTTAGCCAAAGGTTGCTCTTAAGCCTGTGGTAACACTGTGTGAGTGGCAGTTGGTGAATCTACACGGTGTACATTTGTTAAGGCTTATTTTGATAATAGACACACAAGTACTTTTATAGTCAAATGACTGCTGCCCTTTGGACATTGGAGCAAGCTTTTAGTAAGATTTCTGGAAACCTTTTGGATTCTCTTCTGATTCAGTTAACATTCACACATACTTTAGAGGTTTATTTCATTTTTTTTTTTTTTAAATTTTACTCTACATTAATCTGATCTGGTTTTGAATGGCTGGTAAAAATCAAATCAACTAATCTTTGTAATTACTGAAGATTTAAAAAAAATATTAGAGCAGCATCTGAAATGACCTCTCTGAAGAGCTAACATTCATTCAACACATTGACGGCCCATGTTCTATGACAGACTGGGGCCCTGGTCTCCTAAAAAGCGTAGGTTTTAGAAAACAGACTAAACAGTGACTATCAAGAGGATAATTTCAGAAAGACAGTAGAGTAATAATGGCTGGGATATGGGGGTAGAGGGGGGAGTAGGAAAGGCCCTTCCGATGAGGCATTTCAGTGGACAATGAGAGATGAGAAGAAAAGGTTTACATGGAGCTCTGGAAGAAGAGTGTCCCAGGTAGGAATAGCAAGGGCAAAGGTTCTTGAGGCAGGAAGTATAACTGAACTGTGGTACCTATCCCTTTGAGGATATCAAGCAACTATTTAAGAAATTCTACTATCATTAAAATAAAAAGAAAAATCAAACCGTACATACTGTGTGTATGGGAAAGTTACATTCTGAACTTTCTCATCTCCTGAAGTTAAGGGATCTAGTAGAAGGTAGAATTCAGAGTGGAGATTCAGTCAGAACTCCAGGCAAATTGGAAAAATCAGGCGTAAGGTCCTGGCCTGGGAGAAACAAATCTTGTTACATCTTAAGGGTTTTTCTGCACCACTTGGGGAATTTAAAAAACAGTAACAATTTAATTTTTCCCCATAATCATCTAGAAGTACATTACTATTCACCTATGTGGTTTTTCTGTAACATTTTTAAATGAATTTGCTTAAATGTGCCATTTCAGCTCCGTGCTCTCTCTGATGATGGAGTATCTGATCTTGAAAATCCAGACTTGGCTCCTCTGAAGGATATGGAAAAGTTTATGATTGTGCAGCGTTTGTTTGCCTTAGCCAACATGAACCTGGAGAGACTGCAGTCATCTGTGAAAGCTGTCACCCAGAAGGACCCCAGCATTTTCCCACTAATTCTTTATATAAGCCTGAACGGACTCTGTGCTTTAGGCAGAGCACATTAATAACATCATATGTGAATTACAAGTACATGTTATCAGCCAAGGCTGGGTATTTTTCAGCACTGTTAAGATACTACTGAGTTTAGTCACCAGGTACTCTGTAAACAGTTTTTCATAAAAGGCCTGTGCTAATGACCCAGTGTCTAAGTTAGATTTTAGCATCTGAAGAGCTAGAGGAGGGTTGAGAATTCTAAGCTAGTGTACAGACTTTTTTCTGCAGAAAAAAATTGGTCCGCCTATCTTTTTCTGCTATACAAAAACAGATGAGTTTGGTTTTGCTCCAAAAATTCATTTTAAATTGTAAATGCCATAGGAAGACAATTTATAGAAGAGTCTGTTTTAGATGTGCTGATTGACAAATGAACTGTAAATGCCATTATAGTACATATATTCTGCTAAACAAAATTATACTAAAATAATTAGTAGGTGACCCTTCCTTAGGGGTCTAGCTGTAGACATTTTTTTTGTTATGCTTTGATGAGCGTACCAATTCTATGTCAAGAACAATGCTGATTTCCCATGCATTCTCGATTTTTAATTTATAAAATACTACATACTGTATCAAAGGAAACTCTGAACTGTGTATATTTTGCATTTAATTCTGTTTGAAATTCTTCTATAAATAACTTGGACTATCTCTCTAGTGCCTCTGATTCCTTTGCCACTAACCACTGGGGAGCTGAAACCACTTTTCCTTAGCAAAAAGTAGCTAAGACTTCCTCCTAGAATTTGTCTTACTTTAGGAGCAGGGAGGATAAGAAGTAGCAGCTGTTGAAAGAGAAACGTGTTACTCAGCTTTTTTTTTAACCTCAACATCATCTATTCCTTTTTCTGCTCTTCAGATTTTAAGGAATCTTAACACGGAAGAAATGAAGCAAAATAACCCTTTCATCACCTCAGTTGAGACTAAATCTTACGCAAATACTTCCAATACATGAAAAACAGGAGAGCTGTGCACTGTGTGGCGACATAAGGAGCACCTTATAACAAACTGGAAGGGAATCTGCCAAGGTGAAAACAGTGCTCCAACAGTGGCACTGTACATGCCTTTTTGTCTGACTTTCTGAAGTAAGTTTTATACAGATTTTGTAAGGAGAATCTATCTGTGTAAACACATACACATGTATCACAATGCAGTGGGAAGCTCCTTGGAGTCCACAAGAAACTGGACAGTGGTTCCTTTGGGGAGAGGATTTAGAAGTTGGGATAAGAGGTTGGGGGTGGGGGGGTTACCCTTCTATTCCCGTTGTAATTTTATATGTATTAACCTCTAAATGAAAAACCACCAACCAAAGCCAAGCCAAGCCAAGCCAAGCCAAGCCAAGCCAAGCCAAAAAACCCCAAAAGCAACAAAAACTAAAGATCAGCTTCAGGCAGAAAGAAAAGACACCATCCCAGCACATGCCAAAAGTTTGGGTTACATCAAACAGGCAACTAAGGCATCTGGCCCTTTCCACAATTATCAGCCAGTCACCCTGTTGGACTGTGTTTTAAAAATCTGCAATTAAAAAGGATGTAGCCTTATGCTGCTACAGGTGATCCCAGCCCCTCAGTTATTGCCACTCCTTAGCAGACCCCACTGTGATATGGTGGGCAAAGTAGTGCTGGGCATGTTTGAGTGGGCGTCCAAAAGGCTCTTCTAAGTAACTGGTATCCTCTTCACTATATACGATTATTAATTGCAAATGTACATTTACATTTGTAAACAAGTTCTGGTAGCCCAGATACCTAGAAAACAGAAAACAGAATATTTCCCAGAACAACAGAAGTGGAAAGCCACCTTCACTCAGATGTTTCCATGACTACTTGTCTTTCACAAGTGGTACAGGAAGAAACATTTCTATCAGCTAGTGTGCTGTGGCCCTATCAGGGTTCCTCAGGTGTCCATGGAACCTGTGAACATGTTACCTTATATGCCAAAAAGGGACTTTACATGTGTTCTTCAGGTGACAGACCTTGAGATGGAGATTATCCTGGATTATCTGGTAGGGCCCTTAGAAGGCACAAGAGTCAGCGAGAGACTTGGCCAAAGAAAATGCAGGAAAGATGAGGCATAGGAAGGATTCAGTGTTGTTGCTGGCTCTGAGATGGAGGTCAGTTCAAGAACAAGAGTGCAGTCCATGTGACAGCCAGTAAGGAAGCAGGGACCTCAGTTCTACACCAGCATGGAACTGTAATCTGCCAACAGCCTGCAGGAGCCTGGAAGCAGATTCTCTCTCCAGCGGTGAGAGCCAGGGCAGGCCCCGGGAAATGTCTCAATTTCACTTAGGTGAGACCTGTATTGGATTTCCAACCTACAGAACTGAGTTTGTGTTTAAAGCTGTGAAGTTTGTGGTAATTTTTTACTGCAGTGAGAAAACGGACAGTGTAAGAAGAAAGTGAACAATCTAAAACCAAATTCTTTGGGAGACATGAGAAGTACACTAGACTAGCAATTTCTGAAATACGAGGCATGAAATCCCAGAAACTTAGCTTGAGAACGAGTTGCAAAGTACCTGTTGTGGACACCGGCTTCCCGCACTCACCCAGTCACGCCTCCACCTCTTGGCCAGCCTGGTGGGTCCACCTCCCTTTTCCATTGCAGGCCTCAGGGCTGAGCTGTGCCCCAGCAGGTGCTGTCTTTCCCACCTGGGATTTTCCTGCTTGGCTAGCTCGTCCTAGCATCTCATGTCATCTAAGCACAGAGGCCTTTTCTTGATCCTATATTTTAATCTTCCCTGTCTCTGCCATTTTTTCCTTGAGTACGTCACCTTTGAAAGCCACCAAATGGCTTGGGCTGGGATAGAGGAAACAATAGTTAGGGTTTCCTTGTTAAAGAAGAGAAGCAGGTGAAAAATTTATATATTTATTTTGGTGGGAAAAACTAAATGTTATTACAGGCTTTCTGTAGAGATTATTAGCATTTAAAAGAAATTACCAAAGCAAATCTGATATCCTCTGTATTTGATCATCTCTAAACCTTAGTTCTACCTATAAATGAAACACTACATTTTTGCAGTATTTTTATATGTACAAAAATATTTTACTTGGAATATACAATCTCACATGTTCAACATTTCAATAATGTTTGTTTTGGACAGCATATGGAAATATGTGAAAAGAAAAATTTATAGGGACAGTTTCTGAAAAATCAATACTTAATTGTACTGCAGGAAAATTTTATTTATACAAAGGCAGCAGTAATGTTTCTTTTATACAGGAACTAGTAATACAATTACTTGGAAGGCAGTAGCAATAAAATTTTATTTTTAAACTTTTTCATCAGAGACTTAAGCAGCTTGTTCAGCTTTTATTTTTAGATTGCTGACAAGCAGTTTGCCCTCCATTAAAAAAAAAGTTCTACAATTATTTCAAAGACTAGAGGTTAAAAAGAGCATGCATTTGTGTTCAACATAAAGATACACCAAACTGAAATGGAAAAAAAAAAAAAATCCCCAAAGCAAGGTTTTCACATCAAATACTCACCATGGGCTCTAAAGTAACTCAACATGCAGAAAACTACACTTGTTGCCAAACCCTAGTTTGGCATTCTTCTCCAGCAAAACCCTAGATCCCACTTCCTTAAAAATCAATGTTAGCAAAGAAACAGGAGTCCGTTCTTTTTAAAAGAGGACACATAGCCAAAAGGAATATTTATCTTATACTTAAATTACAGTTGGAGATGAGCTATTCCTCAAATCTGGTTCGACCTGAAAAGGTGAAGGTACTCCTCATTTGGACCATGTTCACCAGAACAAGCTCTAGGTCTTCAAGGCAATTGCTATACTATTGCCTGCCTCTCTTATTTCGGAATACGATGAAGATCACATATTTTAAGTGCTGATGACTTCTGCTTTAACAGTGGTAATTTATAGCTGAGGAGTTTTGAATGCTCTGCTTTTTTCCACTTCCTCTAAGCTCCCTGGCCACCTTGACCAATATGAAGAAAGACTAATGTCAGGTATGGCCTGTCGTATTTGTGTGTTTCTACCCTCTGCTGTTGCTGAAGTGCAACAAAGACCTCTAGTTCCAACTGTTAAAATAAGACCTTTTGGCTTCTGCTTTGTGGAAGCAACAGTACCTATTCAGTGGGACTCAAGAACGTTTACAAGCACTGAGTCATTTACTCTCCTATGTACGAAGCAGCATTTATGTTCATTGTAGATGTGTTCATTCAGTTTGTGCTGGGAATTAGGAAAAACTGGTAGGGAAGAAAAGGGAAGGAACGGTCACTTCTGGCTGACTTTGGTGTGTGGAGGAAAGTCAGATTTATCACAGCACTGTATTATCAGCCAGCAGCCGTGAAGCAATTAAAAAGAGAATGCAACTAAGATGTCTTCATGTCTGATTCAAGGTCCACACTAATTGGACCTAACAACAGTTCTCCCTATAAAGAAACAGATGCCTTCTAAACTTAATACTATGGGTTAAACAATAGGGCTGCAATGATAAATTTCAGGCATAAGAACTAAGGTAGGGCAGCTTTAAGGGCCAAAGTTCAGAATTTCTTGAATGTCAGAGTACTAGATTGCTTAAATTTTATTTGATTTGTAAGAAGAATTTGTTAAAGGTTTGGACTGAGAGTGCGATTCTAAACTAAAATGGACCTCCTGACCAAGGCCACAAGAGAGAACAGACCCTCCTCAGAGCTGTTTTAAAATTAGAGGGAGGATTCTTGAATGGTGTGTTCTATTCATTATACTACCTCTGAAGAGATACATTTTAAATGAACTAAAAGATAAACAACCTCAATATAAGTGAATACATATAATAAATAAAGTAGCCTAATAAGGATTCTCCAGTCTAGCATTCATCACATCAGAGTTACAAATTACTTCTTGTAATTTAAGGTGAAGACAAATATTAAGCTAGCCCTATTTAACGGGTGGAATATTAAAAGTAAAGGGAAATATAAATTTTATCAAAGGTCGCATGGTCAGAATCAGAATTAGGATCTCAGCTAGTAGAAGTACACCATCTCTATTTTTAACAAAAGAGATTATTTTAAAGAAAGTAGTGCAATGTACTACGGAAGTGGTACAAACCATGCTTTAAAATTCTTACCTTAGAAATGAGATATCATTCCTTCACTTTTTAGTATATTAAAGACTTATTTCTGTTTCTGCACTAAATCATTCCAGGAACACAAAGGTAACATAATGAATTATAGGACATATTAAAAAATGAATAAAACTTGAGGCTAACAAAAATGTAATTTAAAAATAATCTTACCTTAAGGAATTACAGAATTGTTATCTTCTTAAGATATACAATGCATACTCAAAAAATGATGCTGAATTATTAGTTGACTATATTCTTAAAAGTTTGTGAATATTCACTTTTATATATACAATGATCCCATTATTTAGAATACTGAATTTTGCTCAAGAACTTAAATACATTACAGATGTTATTACATGAATTCTCACAGCAAATCCACTGGAACAAGAGGAGGGCAGTTACCATAATCTCTAAGCCTGAACCATATCACAAATTCATTTAAAGTTTAAATAAGTATTTACTAAGAGGCTGCCATCTAGAACTCTGTCCTTTTTGCTTAAAGAAATTAAGTTATAATAATCTTCTGAGCTTAATATTTTTCAGGAAGATTAGTATCTGCCTCAAGGTAAAACTAGAGCCTTAGAAAACAATGTGAAAAAGGTTTCAGAATGTCTAAGAATCTGGGAGTAAACATTTAAGATCACTAGCTATAGTTACATGGGTGACCATATTTAGTTTTATTATTCATGTATTTGGGGAGAATTTTACATATTATACATATGGCTGTATATATATTATATATATGGTGACTCAGACATTTATAAAATGACCTATATATGTACATAAAAATTCAGGATTTCTTTTTCCATATTTAGTATAAAGATTCATTACTACAAAATTATTGGCTCCCTAGCCTGTGATTTTTGGAAAATGGAGTGTTGTTTCAGAAGTCATAAAAGTACAATGTTAAGTAGAGCACTATTTTGACCAATTTTCAAAAATTTTATGGTTAATATTTATCAGTTCAAACTAACTGTACCTAACTCCATGGCTATCCATCTTGAAAATCAACTCCAATCACTGGATTATGACACTTACTGTTTTGTCTAGCAAGAAGTACCAATTTAGTGAATTTTTAAAGCAAAGATCATCTTTTATTGTCATTGGGATAGTATGGTCAAAGCAGTTAGTATCTGGCCATAATCTATAATGCTACACTATTGTATTTTATTGCTAATTTGCATTATTTCCTAATTTGTGTTAATAACCAATTTGCTCTTTTAAAGAAAACTTGTCCTGATAAGCTACTATAAGCAAATCTACTAGATTCTAGAATCTAGGGTTCAGGCTACTATTGCTGTAGTCATACTGGGTTTATGATAAGATTTCTATTTTAGAAAGCTATGTTCAGCAATTGTATAGTTAAGAATTGGCAAAAGCAAAAGTCCTGATGTATTAGATATTTGATAATATACAAATATCAAACAGGAATTAAGACTGCATAATCAAGACACGGCTGGAATAAAAGTGAAACTCTACTTGTAGTGCATCACATATATTCCACTAGTTATACTGTTACATGACTTATCCAGGAACATTACCTCTAGGGGTATTTGTACATTTGAAAATAAAAAACATATATATAATATTTAGTTGTATATAAATTGTCATGCCCTGAAATCTGAATGTGGACACTCTTCTGATCACAAAGAATCCTCGGGTGCATTAATGTATTGGCACAAGTTTCCCAAAGGCATTTGCATGTGCATTTGTATTTTAACTATTACCAATTGTTTAGCATCCCTTTAAACCGTTTTCTCTTCAGTAAAGCTAATTATTTTAGATATTTCCCGCAAGAGAAGTTCATACTTCATTGATTACAACAATACTCTCATTGCCTTGGGAGAATCCTGGGGCCTCTGGGACTCCTTGCCCCAGTACAGCTCTACTGAGTCCTGCAGACTCAGATGGGACTTCAGTTTCAAGTTCAATAACTACTGAGATACAGTGACCTTTTCTGAATTTATTCTCTTCAGCTCTGGCATCTAGACTGAGATAAACTAAACAGCATTATTTCATTTTATATTATGGGGGATCTAGTGTATATTAACTAGTCATGAATACCATTTATAATAGAAATAATTCCTTTAAGTATAGACTATTTTCTAAATAATATGCATTTTAAACCACAGGATAAGGCTAAAAATACAGATGATGTAAAAATCATCTCCATTATGTGAAGACAGTTGAAATATTTTGTGGATACACTTCTTGTGCTGCTACGATGATCCCAAAGTTGTTCAAAGAGGCTCTGTGCAGAAGACAGCACATTTCCTGAAAATTTACAGTGTGTTGAAATACTAAATCATAAGACATTATCTCAACACTGCTTTGATTCAGGTTGCTTTGAGGAGCCGAGAATTGGATGCGAATATATGTGGTTTAAAAGTTACCAAAGTTATTAAAAGGGTATGATCCATTTTACCACTAATATCCCTATCCTAGGACAAAGAACATGAATTTGTGTTCTGGATATGAAACTCTAGAATAAAAAAAAAAACCTATACATTTCCAATCTTAACAATACAGCCACTTGGCTGTTTCATTGTGAAGAAGATTTAAAGCAATGTGTGCATAACTGCTTATTGCCAGGTATTTTCTCTTCCCTCTAAGCCCTTCTGGCTAGTGTTCCATGTGACAGCTTTGCTGAGGAGAAAAATTAACAGCCAGGTGCCTGATGCCTACCATGGCCAAAGATGACCACAAGCATCTAACCCTGTAGGTGTGAATACTGTCCCTATGAAAAGCTGGCAGCAACATAACATAACTTAGTTAAATGATGAGCTACATCTCTGAATATGTTTGAGGAAGAATTTATACCATCCAAGAATCCTAAAGGAAGATTTTAACTGAGGCGAATTTTAAAAATCTGAGTATGTTAATGCCTCTAAAAGAGAGCGGTTTTCCTAATTACTAAACAAAAAAGCGCATTTCCTAACAGAAATGTAAAAAAAAATATATAAAACCTTATTTAATATATATTATATAATGTATATGTTATATATAGGTAAGACAGCTGACAGTTATTTCCAAATCTCCTAAGTTGTTCAATGGATTTGGTTCTCAACACAAAAGATTTAAGTATTCTAACAATCACATCACACTTCAGAAAGGATGCTGATTCTTCAGAAAATCCCCCACTTGCAAACTTAGAGGCATTTTAAAGTATCACAGAAATTTGCAAAGGCATCATACATTTGCTGACTATCCTAATAAAAAACTGTTGAAAGCAGTAGGTTCATTTTTGTCAAATTTCTACATGTGAAAATAAATCAACTTTATGTGTCATTTTGCTGTGTTATGTGTTACAGGATAAGGCACTCCCTTAGCCTGCATGGCCTTCCTTGCTGTGTACACATTCACTTAGTATCAGCCTGTCATGGCAACAAATGAGAGTGCAAAGTATTGCTCTTTACTTTCCCTCAAGATGGAAAAAAAGGGGAAAAAAACATATCTGCCTAAATTAGAATGGATAGCCATATATCTCTGAAATAACGAAACCATGTAGTGTTGAGCAGACTTCTGATGTCAGACTTGGAAGGTGTGGACATTATAGTTCTGTTTCTGTATGAATTAATATTAGGAAAGAAGGCCAATAACTACTATTTTCTCCTAATAAAGAGTAACTGACCCTTCACTAGTTAAATACTGAACTAAAGGACAGATTTACAAAACTATTTCAAGTATTCATTATCACAGTGAAAATGGGAGACCAATGCGAGAATGAAGGCTTTGAAAATTCCTTTGATGAAAAAGGCAAGGGTACTAAATCAAAACATATACAAAATGCTTCAACGCATTTCTTTATGTGGTATGAATAGAAAGGTTATCCATAAAAAGTTAGAAAAATTAAGATAAATTATATATTAGTACACCTTCCCAACCACATTTTATATAAAAATTCAGAATAGTGTACTGGTATTTCAATCTACACAATAAAAATGCCTGAACTTGGCAGATATCTTCTATCTGTGCATGTATTTTCTCAGTAGAAGGCTTATTTGTTGCAGTTACTTTTAAAAAGTTTTATTTCCATTATGAACCTTATTGAACCATCAGTAAACCCAGCTGATTGGGACCCACTGTGGCTCCATTCTCAGCTTCTCTATGGCAGTTTGTAGTTTCTCAAAGGCTTTGTCTAGATTGTCGTTTACGATGATCAAATCAAAATAGTGGTTGTATGCTCTTTGAATCCGTGCACTTTCGTCCACTGTTTTCTTCAAGTCAGAGTCCTGTCAAAGAGTGTTAAAAGGAAATGTTTCTATCATAATGTGTATTTACTTGCTCAAACACTGATTCAAAGTGAACATGAGAAATGAGGGCATTGGGACTTTTATGGTGATTTTGATACTAATGCTCAAAATCTAATCTATATAGTGTTAAAAGAGACATTACCACCTGTTCATATCCTAGTCTTTCCAGCAGTGCTCATGTTTGTTTTATAAGTATTCTGTATCTTGTTTCATTGATCTTAGGATAAGATTCCTAATTAAACAACTGCTGACCATAATCTCAGGGTGAAATCTAAGGTAATAAAACAATTATTGAAGGTTTCCAGCCCAACTATATCATCCTTTTCAAATGATTTTTTTTTTTTTTTAATTTGCATGTATGTATTACATCCTTAGAAAAAGAATCCCAGGATTTTCCCTTCTGGGTGTTTTTGTCTTGCTTCTTCATGGTCCATGATGCCAGCTGAGGTTGTCAGTACAATGAAAGCAAACTGGTGGGACAGGAGCAGATTATTCTGCCATTTTTGTAGATCTCTGAGTTGTACATCAAATCTGAAGCTCATCACTCCACACTTGTTTAACCTGCTTGTGAGGTTCACAACAATTTTCCCAGCTCTGTGATTATCAATGATCTCAAATTCACCAATGTAACCATGCTTCATCATCACAGTTAGAAACTGGTTAATGACTTTGGAGCATGGCATAATAAGAACCTGGCATTTACCTCTCCTTTCAGGAGTGTTAATGCTTTTGAGAGCATCTGCCAAGACATTCATGTGTACCATTTTGGCAGCACAGAAAGACTGTGGAAAGAGCTCAAAAGATTTTTATCTTGTGGGCTCTGAGATAATGGAAACCATTTTGCAGTGCCTATTAAGCTCAAAGCCAAATCTGCTGCCTATCTCTAGGAAAGAGAATATTAGAAATGTTATTTTGAAGACTAACTACAGGCTTCCTACCCCCACCAACACATACGCACATAGTTCTTTAGCTAGCATTGTTTATATTTTGTACACTATTTCTAGTCATTTTGGAATGATGTAGGTAATGAATAAGTAATGGGTTCTGCATGAGCAAGTAAAGCTTTTCATTAAATTGCAACTGTTTAGAAATTTCATAGTACTTCTACATGTTCTTCAAATATTTATTGATTTCTATTAAAGTGTCTACTATGTTTCATCATCTGTGGCTATAACAATGAATAAGACAGAGTGGGTTCCTACCCTCCAGAGGAGGAGACAGACTAAGGGCAAATAAACACAAAAACTTCCAAGTTGTAATGAGTACTATAAAAGAAACCAACCAGAACAAAGAATTTTGAGAATTCTATTTTAGATAGGGTGATTACAAAGATACCGAGTAAATGACATTTAAACTGAGAACTATAGTGGGGGAAAGAGCATCCCAGGCAGAGGAAACAGCAATGCAAAATCCGGGAGGGAAATGACCCTGATATGTTTTAAGATACTGAAAATCCAGGATGGATAGAGGGACTGAGGGCAGGGTGATACCTTGACATAAGTATGAGCTAGGTAGTGGAGAACTCACATGCAACAGAAAAACGTCACTGGCTTGTGGTGGAGAAAGAAGAGATGGAAATGACAGCAGACTGGAAATATATTTTGGTGATAAAATCATCAAGACTGGCTGATGGGTTGAATGTGAAAAGTGACGAATGAATGAATGAATGGATGGATGAATAAACCAAAACGTAGAAAGAAGCACTTGTAGAAAATGCAGAGTTGGGGAGTAGGAGTAGGGAGAGCACAATTTTTTGGGGGGGAGGGGGAGGGGAACACAATGTTCTTTGTACATGTTAAGTTTAAGATGTCTTGGGAGACATCCAAGTGCAGATATAAGCTAAGTAGAGATGGGTTATGCAAGTCGGAGCTCTGAATTCTGGGTTATCTATACATAAACTAGGAATAATCAGTGTAACAATGGTATATATAAGATAATGAGTTTGGTGAAAACACCAAAAGGGAAGTGTAGAGAGAGACATGAGTTCCAAACTAGGCCTGAGGGACACTAATACTTACATTTCAGTTAATATTTTCATTGATCTCTCTATTTGAAACAACTAAAATATCTTTTGTGATAAATGTGCAAACAGCCTCAATTCAACTTGAAAACAATTATTACCTATTACAGTCATTAACAATCTGCTTCCTTTAAGAAAACAGGTTTTTTTTGACAATGACAATCCTGTAACAATAGTGGAGTAGTACATCATTCAGATGGAAAAAAGAATAAAGAATCTCTATATATGGCCATGGAGAATCTCTAAATATATTGGTAAGTGGAAAATGCAGGCAGGCTACTGAATATAATAGGTTACTTTTTATGTAAGAAATGAGAGAGGGAGGGTACACATATATATTTGCTTATATTTTAAGAAATTGTGCAAATGACGACCTTTGTAGGTGGGAGTGGAGAGGACAGTGAAAAGCTAGATTTTCCTGTTAAGATTTACTTTAGAACTATGAAATGTATAGAATTATACAACAAAATTCAAATAAAAAAGGACAATATCTAAAAATCAAAAGCAAAATGAAACAAACCTGTGTTTCAAGTTGATGGTTTAACCATGCAGAAAGGAAATAGTTCAGTGACTTTAAAATAATACCCAATGGGATATATCTTAGGGACAATTTTTTAAAAGCCTGAAACTTAAAAGTTTTCAATAATCATACTGTTGACAATATCAATATTGATATTGTTACTCAGAAATTATAGAGTGGGTTCTTAGTTTATATATGTAAAGTAAGAAATAATGTCATCAGGAACCAAGATTTTCAGCATAAGAAAAAAGACAAATATAGAGTCAAAGAAGTTAAGTAAAATAATGGTAAGTTTAAATTGGAATTATCAAACTGAACAAATGATGTGTGTTTTCTAAAAAAAGAAAAATGTATTTCTTATATCTGGCCACTGAAAAGCCTGGAAACAATGAGCAACTAAGTTGAGCACACAACTTTAGCATCTATATTGTCTCTAAATACCATTTCCCACTAAAAGGAACCAGTTTTTTTAGATGGCTGGCTCCAGGTCTGGGTCAAAAAATGCGTAAGAAAACCTGGAACAGCTTATCTAGCTAGGAAGAAAAGAGTCATCAAAGATTACTGGGCTTGTGTTAAAAAAAACTCAGAAGACAAGCTGAATATTCCCTCAAGCTAAACATAGGCCAATTTAAACATCAAAAAGAGTAGTAACTAAACTAAGTATACAGAGAGGAAGTATTACAAGAGACTTTAAAACACAGCAATTTGACTGCATATATGCAGTGAGATAAACCTTAAGGACAAAACAAAACAAAAACAAAAACAAAAAAACCACCCACCAAAAAACTAGTTCATGGTAATCACACCCAGTAGTGTTGGTGCACTTATTCTCAGACTGTAGTATGTGTACTGTGGGATAAAGCGAATGAGCAATTATGTGATATTCTAACATTCCCAGTGTTTTTGAGAAGTGGGATACTCAGTACTCAGAATGGAGATAAAAGAGGTTAAATAGGGGCGCCTGGGTGGCTCAGTCGTTAAGCGTCTGCCTTCGGCTCAGGTCATGATCCCAGGGTCCTGGGATCGAGCCCCGCATCGGGCTCCCTGCTCCGCGGGAAGCCTGCTTCTCCCTCTCCCACTCCCCCTGCTTGTGTTCCCTCTCTCGCTGTCAAATAAATAAAATCTTAAAAAAAAAAAAAAAGAGGTTAAATAAAAACCTTGTAATTCTGAATTTGAATGGGAAATAGCAGTATGAATTCATGATATGGTTTCCTTCAAACATACAACAGAAAAACATATCCTAGCTCTGTCTACCTGAAAGGTATAGCTAGAAACAATGATCAATCTTGTGACAATGTGCACTCCTAGTATTATGGTCTTAAAATACCATTCACTCTAAAAAGAATCAGAGCTTCTTGAAGCAACAGCTGATATCTGGCCTAGAAGAGAAAATGTACAAGAGGAGCCCGGAACATCTGTCATACCAGATAGCAAGGAAGCTGAGACTAAATAAGGTCTCAAGGGCCAACTTGAATAAGCTCCTATTGGTCAAAGATGGGACAATTTGAGCATCAATAAGAATGACCATATCTTCTTTTTTTTTTTGTAACGTATAATGTATTATTTGTTTCAGAGGCACAGATCTGTGATTCAACAGGTAGCAGGAGGGGAAGAATGAAGGGGGGAAATCGGAGGAGGAGATGAACCAAGAGAGACTGATGGACTCTGAAAAACAAACTGAGGGTTCTAGAGGGGAGGGGAGTGGGAGGATGGGTTAGCCTGGTGATGGGTATTAAAGAGGGCACATTCTGCATGGAGCACTGGGTGTTATACGCAAATAATGAATCATGGAACACTACATTAAAAACTAATGATGTAATGTATGGTGATTAACATAATAATAAAAAAAGAAAAAAAATAAGAATGACCATAATAGAGTAACCACATCAAAAACTCACATCAGGTGCTCATAATGAAACTAAAAACCAAAGAAAACAAACCTTATTTGATCACCTGTTGCATCTGGGGGCTCTCAGAACAAATTCTATTATTCTGAAAACTGACCCATCAAAAGGAAAGTATAAGCATATACCCTGACTTTCCTATATGAACTCTACTTCAGAGTAATCAACTAATTGATGAGGAAAAGTTATTTCTTAGAAGAACTCTAGTTTATAAATTCAGAAAGAATGACAAACTTGAGTGTTATCATTTTACAATCCCTAAAAAATAAGTGATCCAGGCAAAGATGAATAAAACTTGCCAAAATCAGTAGGTAAAAAGCTACTGGAGAACTTTACAGATCAGGCTCACAACATTTGAACCCACTGATTAATCTTATCACAAAAAAAGAGAGCCTTCCATATGCCTCATAATGTAACAAGGCAAGAAGTATCAATTATTAATTATTCTTGGGAAAAAAAAGTAAACCTATATCTGTTCAAGCTTCTATCAGTTCACAGGGAATAGAGGGAAATGACACAATGGGGACAAAATTGGCAAAATCTAGACTGTGAAGCGCTCTATAGGATAACTGACCCAACTTTTGTTTTGTTTTGTTTTGTTTTTTGTTAGAGGAGGAGCTTGATCTCACGACCCTGAGATCATGATCTGAGCCCAAATCAAGAGTTGAATGCTTAACCAACTGAGCCACCCAGGCGCCCTAACCCATTTTTTTGAACAACTAAATTATAAGGTTACAAGAGAGGGGAGGTGGGGAGTGAGAATTTACAGATTAGAACAAGTAAAGGGATGTTTGCTTCCAGCTAAGATGTAGTAACAGATATCAGACTAACCCTCCTACCTGACAATGAAAACATGTGACAAAATGTTATGGAACAGTTTTTAAGACCTTGTGCACTGTGCATAAGGCAACAAAAGACTGATACCTCAGAGAAACAGGAAACAAATGAAGTGAACCCTACAACTACCCCAGCTTATTGTCTTGAAAGACCTTCTAGGCTTCAGTACACAAGGTGGAGCCCAGAAGGAGCCTACCCAACATTCCAAGTTAGCGTATACATATGCCCAGACTTACCAAGTTGTACACTTTCAGTATGTACAGTTTATTATATGTCAATTATCCTCAAGCTGGGGGGGAAAAAAGAAATTTAGAAGATATCAAGTAAATGCAACATGTTGATCTTGTATGGATCCGATTTGAACAAATCAACTGTAAAAAAAAAAATTCTAAATCTTGGAGAAATTCAAATATGGATGGTATACTGATGATATTAAGAAGTTGCTCTTGTTAATTTTTTTGTGTTAATGGTGTAATGGTTATGTTTAGAAAGTCTTTATCTTTTAGAGATAGATAATGAAGTATTTATGGTTGACATATCAAAGATTTGCTTTAAAATAATTCAGGTTAGGGAGGAAGTGAAGAGAGGGCTAATTGAAACAGAAATGGCCACGCATTACTGAACCTAGGTGATGGGAATATGGGAGTTCATTTTTTTCCTCTTGTATGTACTTTAAGTTTCCCATAATGTGAAAAGAGAGAGAGGAAGAACAAGAGAAAACATGTAACAGAAACTAAAAGTCAGAACTAACTACCAGTAGTAAACCTTATGATGAATATGCTTGTTAATGGTCTTGGAGCCCAATTTCCTCACTGATAAAATGAGAGTTGGATTAATATGTGTATTTTGATACTGCTCCATTTCATTTATATAGGGGGAATAAACTTGTGTGTGTTTTTTAAGATATTTATTTATTTATTTGAGAGAGCGAGAGAGAGAGAGAGAGGGAGGGAGAGCATTCCCTGCTGAGCACAGACCCTGACGCAGCACTTGATCCCAGGACCCTGAGAATATGACCTGAGCCAAAGGCAGATGCTTAACTGAATGAACCACCCAGGTGTCCCTAAACTCATGTTTTAAAACAAATAAAGTGAACAATGATTTTTAAGTAAAAGTCATACTGTTCCAAATCCTAACTATATCTCATGAATGAATTTTTATTCTGTAATACATCATATAGTGTATTTATTTCATAAATATGATTAGAATTAAACATGCCCAAAAGAAAAAAGAAAAAAAAATCTTACGAGTAAAATAACATCGTTAGCCTGAAAAGAACTGCTCACCGTCAAAAGCTTAGTAGTGATACCAGCATCCACCACTGCCTTGTGCATGGCACGTAATGTCTCTAGTTCTGGAGCAGCAATAAATACAACATAGGGCATGAACTCGGAAGTCCTCAGCACTTTCAGGGCCTGTGTAGAAGAACAATTACAAACCAATTTATATGGGATTAGAATTTGAATTATGTTACCCTTTAATTTATAATAAATGTTAACTAATCAAAATCTATCTGCCCTCTCACTAAGGATGAAGGATGTAATTTAATACTTGCCCACCTCTATCCTTTTGATTCCACACAGTACTTTTCTTTTTTTTTTTAAGATTTTATTTATTTATTTGCCAGAGAGAGTGAGAGACAGAAAGAGAGAGCACAAGCAGGGGGAGCAGCAGGTAGAGGGAGTGGGAGAGGGAGAAGCAGGCCCCCCGTGGAGCAGGGAGCCTGATGCTGGACTCGATCCCAGGACCCTGGGATCATGACCTGAGCCGAAGGCAGACGCTTAACAACTGAGCCACCCAGGCGTCCCCATACAGTACTTTTCTAAAATAGTGATCCATTAAATGTGTTCTGACCTCAGTCATACTACCCTTTAATCCTCTTGAACAAAGGAAAGTATTGAACTTAAAGATCCAAAAATTATCAAGAATGATGTAAATGCTTTCTATGTTACTTGTAGAATTCTGTTAATATTGAAAAAGCAGAAATAATCTCAGTGTCTATTGAGAGTGGTTATATAAATTAATATACATTTGTACTGTGAAACACTATTCAGTAATTACAAAGAACTAAAAAAGCTCTACAGTAACTGACATGAAAAGATCTTCAAGACATACTGTTTAATGGAAAAAAGCTAAAGAATCTATATAGAATTTTCCTATTTATGTAAAAAAGAAAAATAGGAAACCCATAAAAAAATCTAATAAAATTATATAGATATGTATCTGTATTAAAGCATACTAAAATGACAAAGATATATACCAAGGTATTAATAATTATCTCTGAGTAGGGAGGTTAAGTTGGGTTGAGTGTGGAGGGGTGAGAAAGGGTCAGTGAGAGAGAGGGAATAAGAGTGAAGAGAATGGTGTGTGTGTGTGTGTGTGTGTGTGCACGTGCAAAGGGGTGTGACTTTCTTTGTTCTTTATGTTGTAGCTTTGCTGAAATTTTAAAATCAGTATTTCCTAACACAATAATTTATGTTACTTAAACAAGTAAATACTAAACTTTTATCAAATTCTATTCCTATCCAAACCTCTATTGGTTAATTATTTTTTTTTTAAGTTTTTATTTATTTATTTATTTGACAGAGACAGAGAGAGACAGTAAGAGAGGGAACACAATCAGGGGGAGTAGGAGAGGGAGAAGCAGGCCTCCCGCGGAGGAGGGAGCCTGATGCGGGGCTCCATCCCAGAACCCTGGGATCATGACCTGAGCCACCCAGGTGCCCCCTGTTGGATAATTATTGATCAGAGATTTATTTAACTGGCTGTGGATGCATAATAAGGTTCTCTATCACCAATAGGTAATAGAAAGAGGCATCCTCACAATCTGAAAATAAAACCAAACAAAAACTTCATAGGAATTACGATTTTAAAAACAGCTTTGGAATCCATGCAGCTTACTTGTGGGTTGACATCCAAAATACAAGTTCGTCCAGTTTGGACAACTTCAAGAATAGAATCGATTTTGGTTCCATAGAGATTTCCTTCATATTCCCCATGTTCCAAATATTTTCCAGCTTTAATATCTGCTTCCATCTCAGACCGTGACACAAATTTATATGCCTGACCATCTTTTTCATCTTCCCTTGGTTTCCGTGAAGTAACTAAAATAATGTTGAGAATTTATACAAAGAGAACACAGGGTATTAAAATTGAGACTAAAATGCACAGGGTAGCTTAAGATTTTTCCATTTAGTTTGGGGTTGGCAAATTATGACCTATGGCCAAATCTGGTCTGCTTCTTATTTTTGTAAATTAAGTATTATTAGACTAGAGCTATGGCACATTTGTTTTATTACCTACGGTTTCATTCATTTTACAATGGTGTAGTAGTTGTGACATAGACCAGATGACCCACAAAGCCTAAAATATTTACTCTGTGGCCCTTGAATTAAAAAGTTTGCTGACCCCTGACCTACAGGAATGTTTTAAGAGGTAGTCCCCAATACACAGTTGATATTAAAAAAATGTGCTTTATAAAGTCAGCTTGAAACCTGAACATATATTTACATAGAAACAGTCCTAAATTTAGATTCTTAACTATGATGAGTCCTACTAAGCGTGGGATACATTGTAAGTGAATATCTTTTCCAGCTGCCACCAGCATTCCCCTTAAGGAATTTACACTTGAACACTTCCTAACTGAACACCCAACAAGTGAGCAAAATTCTATTTGTAGTTGGTATTATCAATCTTCTGAAACATATTTTTACCCACCAATTATCTATCCCTTTCTCCTCACCCTAACACCAAACCTTCTTCTAGCCTCTTGCTTATTGATATTCTGAAATGTGAACTGTTCTGTTCTGCAACTTGGTGGTGGATCTAGCCACACTTGATGTCATTATGTTCTATTAACTTCCTCTACTCTAACCTAAAGTATTTTTTTTTTTTCTGAGAGAATAACAGTAAACAGACCAAGTCAAAATTTAAAAGATCATTTTTGTCTGATAGCTTAGTTCTGAGTACTTCCAGAGATATACAACTCCTTTGCAACTTGGGCTAGCATAGGAAAGGAAATTCTCTTTCAAACTGTTGCAAAGATGTAGTTAGGTACTCTCTACAAATTTGTTAACACTGGCTTGGAAGAAGAAAAGTAATTTGTGTGTGTGTATGTTATTTTACAGTTTAGCCTTAACCATTTTGGCTAGCTCAGATATAAAATCAAATACTTACACATGTAGAATATCTGATGAAATCATTAAGCACATGCAATTAAGAAGTAATCCAGATCAAAAGTTGACAATATTTTGACTATGTGTAATAAGCATAGCACATCAAGAAAACTTTTATAAGAACAGAATGAACTTGAAATTTAAGCTCAATAATAAGAGTTTAATTCATAAATGAGATCATTAGGCACAACAGGACTCCTTTTCTTCCCCTGTTGTTTTGTGGCTCAGCCTTTAGGGTGATCATCCCAGACAATTGTGGAGACCATATATAAAGTAACTAAAGACATTCAAGATGCTATGATGCATTTTCATATTCAAAAATGTGTGATGTCCAGGGTTTCTGAAATTATTCACTAAAGGTGGTATGATAAAATGTCTAAGGCAATTTTAAACTCCCCCAAATAAATACATACTAGGACTTGGCTCAATATCTGTGAATATAATTTTAGAAGAGTACGGTTTTTTGGTGAAGCTCTACAATGAAACCATATATGGGAATGTGCTGCTTGAAATAAATATGTATAGGCACACATATTGCCCCCATCACCACCTGCATGTTGAGGGGATCTTAATTTTTGGCAAAATGTTTTTAGTTTACAAGCAAAAAATTTTAAAAGATTTTATTTATCTATTTAGAGAGAGAGAAAGAGTGAGCGTGAATATGAATGGTGGGGGGAGAGGGAGAGAGAAGCTCAAGCAGACTCCGTGCTAAGCGCAGAGCCTGACACAGGACTAGATCCCACAACCTGAGTTGGGATCATGACCTGAGTGAAATTGAGTCGGATGCTTAACTGACTGAGCCACCCAAACGTCCCTAGTTTACAAGTGAATTTTAACTACAATCTCATTCTCTAATGAAAACTCAAAGAAAGCAAGGCAAAACAAAAATCAAAACCCCAAAACTATATTGCCATATATTTAATTCCCTTTCCATCCTTAGGACAGAGAAATTAGAATAGGGTAGCTTCACTATAACTCATTTCTTAGGTTTATATGTTAAGCAAATAATGTGATTTTTTAGAATTTAATCATTATGGCAAAATTCTAAATTGTTATAGCTCTTCAAATTATGAAGAAACAACAAAGTAACTTTTTTTATTAATTAAACTCAAGACATCAATGTTAAACTGATAAGAACAGATACTACACTTGATCTTAGCCAAAAGGCCGAGAAGCGATCAAGACATCAATGTTAAAAAGCAAACTTGATTCATAAGGTAGCCTATCCCCCTGGATTAATAATTTTTTCTATTTTAGGATCATTTAATAATATATAAAGGAAAATCTATTTAAGATTTGATTTGAGAGAAAGAACAGAAAGAGCACAAGGAAGGGAGAGGGGCAAAGAGAAAGGGAGAAGCAGCCTCCCCACTGAGCAGGGAGCCAGACATGGGGCTGGATCCCAGGACCCCAGGACCATGACCCAAGCTGAAGACAGACACTTAACTGACTGAGCCACCCAGGAGACACAAGAAAAATCCATTTAACACAATGCCAGCATTTACCTCCTCCTTATGAGACTGACTTCCTTATTCATACCACCTGACAATATGCAGCACACTACTATGTATCAGGAATTAGGCAAACCTGTCACACTTTTGCAGTGTTTCTTTTTTGTGTTGATTCTGTGACTTAAAAAAAAAAAAGCTAGATGCTACATAAATGTGAATGATTTAAAGAGAAGTAAAACACACCTACATTATATGAAAAAGTGAGTTACCCTGATGTATGGATATACCTAAATCTTTCTATATAAAAATTCAGATTTGAATCCTCACTAAAATATTTATTTACTGCTGAAAGGCAGCATATCTTTCTAGAAATTAATTTGGCACTAAGAAATCAAGAAACTGAGACATCTATATATATTTTTTGATGTAATAATTTCATATTTGAGATTTATATATACACACTTCATCATCTCTGATAACAAACATAACTATCCAAATCATATAAATAGGCAGTAACACTATACTATATGCCAGAATATTAAGTTATTTACTTTTTTAAAAGGTTTATGATAAAATTGATCATTTTAACCATTTTTAAGTACACAATTCAGTGGCATTAGGTACATTCATATCGTTGTGCAACATCACCACTATCCATTTCCAGACCTTTTCATCATCCCAAACTGAAACTCTGTGTCCATTAAACACTGACTTCGCATTACACTCTCTCCTAGGCCCTGGTAACCACTACTCCACTTTCTGTCTCTATGAATTTTATTATTCTAGGTACCTCATATAAATGGAATTGTACAATATCTGTCCTTTTGTGTCTAGCTTATTTCATTCAGCATAATGTTTTCAAGGTTCATCCATATTACAGCATGGATCAGAATTTCATTCTTTTTTAAGGTTGAATAATATTCCACTGCCTGTACATACAACTTAGTTTACCCATTTATGCACTGATGGACATTTGAACTATTTCTATCTTTTTGGCTATTGTAAGTAATGCTATGAATATTCATGTACAAATATCTCAGTCCCTGCTTTCAATTCTTTTGGGTATATACCTATAAGTTGAATTGCTAGATCATATGTAATGCTATGTTTATTTTTCTGAGGAACTGCTATACTGTCTTCCATAGAAGTATACCATTTTACATTCCCATCAGTAATATACAAGTGTTCTACTATCTCTACATCTTTACCAGTACTTGTTATTATCTATTTTTTTAAATGTATGATCTCAGGGTGCCTGGGTGGCTCAGTCATTAAACGTCTGCCTTCGGCTCAGGTCATGATCCCAGGGTCCTGGGATACAGCCCCGCATCAGGCTCCCTGCTCTGCGGGGAGCCTGCTTCTCCCTCTCCCACTCCCTCTGCTTGTGTTCCCTCTCTGTCTCTCTCTGTGTCAAATAAATAGATAAAAAATCTTAAAAAAAAAAAAATGTATAATCTCCTAATGGGTATAAAGTGGTATATCACTGGGGTTTTGATTTGCATTTCCCTAATGATCAGTGATGTTCAGCATCTTTTTATCTGCTTATTGGCCATTTGTAGATCTTCTTTGGAGAAATGTCTATTCAAGTTCTTTGCCCATTTCTGAATTGGGTTGTTTGTTTTATTATTGTTGTAGGATTAATATTTACATAAAACATATGACAATGACTTGTGAAGAAAAAGCTCATGATATAATGTTCATTCATTTATTCATCAAATATTTCTTGGGTATATCCTATGTGCCAGACCCTATTCTAGATTCTGGGTCTACAGAAGTACAAAAGACAGAGCAGCTCTCTGTTCTCGTGGGACATATTCTTGAATGTGGAAATAGGTGAGTAGTTAAATAAAAAATAAGAATTTAAGTGCTAAAACATAACCACTAGGTACTGGGAAGGCTACTTTAGATGGAATGGTCAGTAAAGGCCTCTGAGAAGGTGAGATCTGAATAAAAAGAAAAATTCAAGCATCTGAAGATCTGGAAGGCAGAGTGTTCCACACTGAGGGACCAACAAGAACAAAAAGGTATGAAGGATAAGTTTGAGGAATCTGAAGAAAAGAAAGACCAGTGTGTTAAGTAGGAGAAAAACTATGGAAATTTTTATATGAATAATATGGTCATAATTCTATAATTACAAGTTTTTTAATTGTGTTCCTTGTATTTATAAACAGAACATTGAATAAGGTTTTTTTTTTTTTCTTTTTTCTTTTTGCAGTCTCACAGTAACCCTCAAGTCCCAAGTAGAAGCTAAAATGCCAAGGATTTATAGCCTCCTCTTTCAGAGTTTACTAAAAAGTGGCCAACTTGGTCCTAGGATCATCTGTCCACCTACCTCTATCTTATATATACTCGGAAAGGAGTCACTGAGGTTATAAATTGTAGGTTCAGGGCAGAATGCTTTATTTTCTTTTCCTTTACCCCATGGTAAAATGATTCTCCCTGATGAATTCTGAAAACCCATGATGACATATTATGGCA